TCCTGGAGAAAGGAGCCTCTGTCCACAAGTATTTCAGTGGATCCTCAGGATGTGGTGAACTCCTATAATAGACCGATGGCCGCAGCTCCTCTGTTCTAAGCCAGAGTGCCTGGAGTCTGCAGTAGGCCCGGGAATCTGCTGGCACCAAAGGATTGAAGGGTTCTTTTGTCTTTGGGAGTAGAATCTCCCATGTATCTCCTGTCGCTTGTGCAGCTTGGAAAAGCAAAAAATCCCAAACCCAGGACTCGGAAATGAAAAGAATGAAATAAGTTTTTTGCTACCGTCATAGGTGTGGAGGAGCTGTTTGTGAACCTGGCCGGTTGATACATTCCTACTTCTATTAAGCTGCCCTGTTACTCACACTGAGTGCTGGATTCTGCTCAGATGTCTAATCACTAATTAATTACCTACTTGTTGAGCAGGTCATGAAGGAAAATAGACTGCTGTTGGTCAGCCTGGGTAATGTCAGGGTCTGAGGGGTGTGTTTACGCTGTATTGCCATTATGTAGTCCTCATGTGGTACATTCAGATGGTCCTCCATTAAAAGGCTTAAAAGTATCCTTAATGATGACCAAAGATTGGCAACAAGTCCCCAGATGTGTGTAACTGGATTCGTTTTCTTGGGTGTAATTCATTCTGGTGTCATTTCTGACTAAGAAAGTCATGCAGACTTAGGAGACAGAAGGGATTGGAAGGGTCGTAACCATTCACCTGCCCAGGGCAGGACCAGGTGGAGTGTTCATGGCTAAGGTTTGTCAGGTGGTTTGTGGGGACCTGTCTGCCCCAGGAGCCTGGGACTCGTGTTTCAGTGTGTTACAGCTCTGGGCATTCTCCAGTTTAATCTGTCTGAGGGATACAGGGATCAGAATTATTGTTAGACTCCTACTTTTAGCCTCGTGAGAATCAGCAGATAGGTAGATGAGCAACCAAAGAGGTGCTCTTGGGAGGGAAAGTTGTGCAGTGGCATTTTGAGCCCAGATCTGCTGTGGACTGAGTGTGGTAACTTGTCAGCACAGCTGTACATGTGGACGAGGTGCTGCTGCTTGGTGGGCTTGGTGCTGTCAGCTGTGTGACACAACGGGGAGCATTGCAAACAGTGAAGCAAGGAGCCAAGTCCATAAAAATGTGAAATTTGCCTGTTTTGTTGCTCCCAGAAACCTTTTAAGTTCCATAATGTGAATTGAAATTGAATACTGTGGAGCTAAACATGATTGGAGACAGACTTTGTGTCTGGTAGGAAACTGGTGATGTGTAATGAATGTTGTATCTGGAGGTTTTCCATATGAATGGTTCCTGCTTGTTCCTGGGCTTTGACTCATTTCTAGAGTACGTGTTTCCTGCCCTAAACCTCTTTTAACCTAGAGGTTTGTCTTTCTAGTTTTCAGTGCTTACTGGTAATGATTAAAGAGAGGAGCAAGTGTTAGCATGGGATCAAGTGTTAGCATACTCAAACTCTAGTTCTCTTTTATTTCTGAGAGTGCATTTCCTTTTGCTTATCTATAGTTTGTCCAAACTCAACTTCTAAGAAACAGGAGTATTTCTGTGCCTGAAACAAAGACCTTTCTCATTCTGCTTTCTGTGTCAATTGAAGGCTGAAAATCAGTCGCGTTCTTGCGAGAGAGCAGTTCATGTTCTAGCTGGTGTTATCTGAAGGCATGAGTGTTCTTTTTGCAGAACAGTACTCTTAGTTGACTAGGTAGTATTTCCAGTTCCTGAAGTGTTAATCATTCTGTGCAGAGATTTTTTTTTTTTGATTATTTTTATTTTTTCTCTTTCTGTCAGTGCAGTTGCTGGACCTGGAGATTGTGTTTGCATTTTTCCAGATGCAGGCAGATCCAGCAACAAGCACTGTCATGCTTGGAGAATTTGCATTCTTCCTCCTGAGCTTGGCACTGTTGCTGCTAGAAGGAAAGATTCACTAAATAGGCTACAGTTAATTTATACTTTTTCTGGGCTCTCCTGTGATTGATTGTGTTAATGATAATGGATTCAGTGAGATGTGTTAACACAGACCAGTGTGAGCAGTTCCATTTATGAGACAGACACCAGAACAGTGCTATTCCTTAGTTTCTGTCTATACTTTCTCTCAAAATCTGGATGGATTACAGCCAGTTTCACACCAGCCACTAGGTGTTTTTTTCACAGGATACTTTCACACCATATTTAAAGCAGGATTAGAGTGTTGTGCAATATTGACTCCTTCCCTAAGCCCTGCAGAAGATCCCTGCAAAAGGTCCCCTGCCTTGCTCTGCACTGGGCATTTCACAGACAATTGTCTTCGGAACAAAAACTCCAAGGCAAATAACTAGTGGGAAAAATTTCCTGAGCACTTTGAATTGGGCAGTGCAGTTCCCATGGTTGAGATGTAGGAGGATTCTTGATGTTTACCACATTTTTGTGTTGTGGGAGGTTACAGGGAGATGAGAGTGAGAAAATGTGAGAGACTCTCAGCAGTGCAGGTGGGACCCCTGAGTGGGATGGTGATTCCCCCCTCGGACTGTCTGTGGCACTCTCGCTGCAGAAATGGCTCTGCCCTGCACAGCAATTGCTGAACTGGCTCACATTGCAGCCAGACCATTACTGAACACAGGCACACGTTTCAGGGTGCCATAAAATGCCTTTGCAATGGATCACTGCTGGTTCAGGAACAGCTGGCATGAACTGGAACTTTTCTAGTGCTGGTTGCTCAGGATTTGGTCTCTTCATCTCAGGAGTCACTCAGGAGTACACAGATTTGTCTTGGGTGGGTAAATTGTAAGGGTTTTTTCCCTTCTTCATTTCCCTGCGTAGGAAGTCCCAGGTGACATACTAAAGCTGTTAACATGGTGACAAAAGCTGTGCCTAAGTCGAGCAAATGACGTGTCCAGTTTAATTATGTGATACTCAAGAGTCTCTCGAGTCAAGAGACTCTAAGGGTGGGTGTGAGGCAGAGGTAGTTATAGTAGCAATTGGTTTGTACATGAAGGTATCATATCACTAAGGCTGTGGTTTGCTGCTGCTGTTCCTGCTTTTGAAGGAATCTCATCATATTCTCACAGCAACTTTTTGAAGCATGTGTGGATTTTAATTAAAATCTTGCTTTCCCCAAATACTTACTTTGTTAACCAAAGGTCTTGTTTGAATTGAACTGGAGCAGATTATTGCATTGTTTGTTTCAGTTGACAGCACTTAATCCAGATTAATTTGTGCTGTTCAGCGTTTCAGTGGTGGACAATAAAAGGTACCGTTGAAGGCACATCAGGCTTTGGCTGCAGCCTGAACATCAAAGAGCCAGCATTTCCCCAGCACGTGCAAGTGCTGTGTTACTGAGAGGTCACTGCTTGCTCAGGCTTTGAAGTGTGATATCATACGTGGCCTCTGGAGAAAGCCCAAAGATTTTGTGGATATTTTTAACCCTGTGTTATTAGCTGTACTTCATGTAGGTAAAGCTGTGCATGTCAGCACAGATGTGGAAGTTGGGGTTTAAGACCTGACCGAGCTCTTTGCTTTTCATACGTGTCTGGCTTGCCTGGCTGCGTGTCCTGTGTGTCACTGCTGCTTTCTCATCTTTTAGCTTGAGACTCTGCAGTAGGATTATCTGAAAGGACACTTGTAAGAGGGATGTGCTCAGATTTGTCTCTGAATTCAGTTTTACTGATCCATAGGCTGTCGGGGATTTCACCTCTAAATCTCCTCCTACTTGACTTACTTCTCTTATCACAGAACTTGCATTTCAGAAATATGATGATCCTACAGTGTAAAATTTGGGATTTATTGTTTTCCTTGGTACAGAAAAATGCATCTTGCTTGGGACAAAAAAGATGGAAGAGAGAATCTCATCATCAAGCCATGACCTAAATTCTGTGTAAATTCCTTTGCCTGACAGTTCTTGATTTGAGATGAAATTTTAAGGAGTTAAAGAACTCAAGATTTGGACAAATATAATTTGGCTATCACAGAATGGTTGAGTTTGGAAGGGACTTATGGAGGAACCTTTTGTCCAACCCCCTTCTTCAATGCAGGTCAGGTTGCCCAGGGCCATGTCCAAGTGCCTTAAAGCATATAAATAATATATGGGTATAGGAATATAATCAGTTAATCCTCATCCTCTCAAGGTTTTTTTAAAACTACTTTTGTAATATAAAACTCCTATGTCTTGAGAAGGTATTTTCAAGGTTGAAATTTTGCAGCTAGTTTAGAACAAGGTTTTGTTTAAGTACATAACACTTTGTAAAGCTGTAACTGTGCATGCGTGATGTTGCAGTGAACCTTAGAAATCTGCACAAATCTCGTAGGAAATGTGCTTCTCTTAGATAATCCTGCTCCATATTTATTGTTACATCAGCTTGTCCCAAGTTCTGGGTAGTGTGGGGGTGTGGGTGAGTGTGTTAGGGTTATACTTGTTATCTCACACACACTACACATGGATCAGTGAAATTTGTGAATTCCCCTGTGTGGGGTATGGTCAGGAAACAAAAAATGCTAATTCCCATCTTTGCTGGTTTGCTAATAACATAAAAAATACATTCTCAGAGGAGAAATGTCAGTGGCTCTTACCTGATATAAAGGATTTGTGCTTGGGCACATACAGGTAACACGTGATTTCTGAAGGTGTAGGAGATGTGGCTCCCTGTGAACTTGGGTATGTGGGGAGATGTATTTTTCAACTTTTTTTTCCCCCTATTTTTCCACTCAGCAGTTTTTCCTGGTTCTTCCTTCTGGAAGCAAACATGAGCTGTCAATGAGCATGGCTTGTCTGCCTCCATGTGAGAAGCCCCACAGGAAATACCTCAGTCAAACACAGGCTAAATGAAGGCAGAATGTGAAATTAATGTCTACTTGTGTCACTGTTTTTTGATACTCACTGCTGACACCAGATTTACTCTGTAATGCATGGTAGTTGTTTAATATTTTTGATGAAACATCCCTGTTACCTTTTTACATATTTTACTTATTTCTTGCATGAAACATCATTTGTATTGTTGAGACATCTGTTAAATTAAACTTCTGTTTTTATTTAGGTGTATGAGTTGGATGGCATCCCCTTGATTCTGGACAACTGCAGCATTGATGACAACAATCCCTGTATCCTTCACAAAAGAGTTCTGTTTTTTGAGTGTGACTCACGAGAAGAGGTGTGGGGTTTCACAGATGGATGCCAGCACCGCTCTCACTGCGTGCCCAAGTGTGACTGGCATCAGGACGTTCTAAGTTGTGTTTAAGTGGTTCAGAAGTGAGCAAAGGCACAAATAGGCTTTCGTGATTCTAAGTAAGTTGAACTGTGGTTATATTCTGTTTCCTAAAATAATAAATATTGCTGGTTTGTAAATGTCAGTTCAGAGAGCCAGCTGTGACAGAAATCTGATCTCAGACTTTGACCATTGTGTCAAATCTTGGAGCCTTTGCTTCCATTGAAGTATCTGTTCAGGGGACTGAAACAGTACCCTATCAATTCTCTGCACTTAATAAAAGGGGTTGGGGAGGTTATTGTAAGCACAGAGTCAAGGCTAACAAGCTGTCCTGAGAACATGTATAATTGAGAAAATCAATTGTGCTAATTACTGAAATGTTGGGAAGATTTTAATATAAATGGCATTGTGCTTAATAGTAATTTTTCCTGGGGTTTAAGAGCAGAGACTTTCCAAGACAGATTGCTGTTAGAGGGAAATAACTGTATATTGAAGAGAAGTGGTTGTTAAGCAGAGTTACCCATCTCTTCAAGCAGCACACAGGGATCCTGCCAAGTGTGTTCAGTGAGGGATTTTCTGCCATCTGATCATTAGTTCTGTGTAAGTTTCTGGTAAGTGTGTCTGGAAAGCAAATGCATTTCCTTTGTAGAGTCATGTCAGGTTTCATATACTGAACACATGAAACAGGGTTTCGAAATTAATTGTTAAGAAAAGGGTCACTTTCTAACAAGTATTAAAAAAAAAAACACAAAAAAAATTGTGAAAATGTTGCATATTCTCTCAATTGTGTGCTGTGTAACATCATCTACGTATAAATGTACCTTGAAATAATGTAGATGACAGCACAATGCTAACAAGCTGGGTGGAGGAGCAAGGAGTGTTAAGCATCCTCTGAGTTACTTTATTGCTTTATGTGCACGAGTTTTACATTCCTCACTGTTCCTGTACCTGGAGACCTGGCAGTGTGGCTCTGGACAGGACACTGAGGAGCAGAGTTGCACTTCCATGGAGCAGTTCAGGGAAGAGGCACTGTTGGATGAGGTGGGAAGGGCAGGGAAAGTTCCCTTTCCCTAATCAGAAGAGCAGCCCTGAGAAAACTGGGTAGGGAGCTTTGGTCCCCAGTGACTTCTGTGCTGGAAAGCACAGCTGTGCAACCACTTCTAGAGTGTCTTTCTAGGATTAATCCTTCATTTTAGCTGTTAGTAAAAGAGGATAAAGTTGGAAGCCTTCAAAGCTAATTTACGATCTTGAGTGAAATGAAAATAAAATACCCTGGGAGTCTTTACTGCGTTTTGAGCCATGTGGGACTTCTTACACCTTTCGATACAGGCTGACATTTTATGACTACACCATAAACTTCTTAGCAGAGGATAAAACTTTGTTTACTTGGTTTTTAAAGACATGGTAACACCTCCTAATGTGAGCTTTCAGCACTGGTCCATAGCACAGAGTACTGGGGGATATATGGATGAGTGAGCAGCACGTGGGCAGAGAGGGGACTGGCCTGCTGTGACAAGGTTTGCTGCATCAGCGTTTGGAGTGCAGCTCCTGGCTGCTGCTCTGTGCGTGGCTTTGACCTCTGGCTGTTCCAGGTGCTCTAACGTGACGTTAGTGCTCCCCTGCCTCTCTCCTGCCTCTAACATTCCTCATCTGCGGCCTTCCCAGCGGGTCTTACACGGAAGCAGAGGAGGAGTTTGCAGTTCAGGTGTCTCTACTTTCATCTGCTTTGCAGCATATTCTTGTGGACACCACAAACCAGGTCCTGAGCAGCACGTGGGGCCTGACTCCACTGCATAACAATTGCATCATCTCTGAAGAGATTCAGCTGTTTCTTTGCTCTCTTTGTGCACCCCAGTCCTGCCTGGCACAAATCCCAGAATCACAGGCTGGATCAGGCTGGAAGGGACCACAGTGGCTCATCTGGTGCCACCTCCCTGTTCCAGCAGGACCATCCCAGAGCACATGGCACAGGATTGTGTCCAGATGGTTCTGGAATATCCCCAGTGAGGACACTCCACACCCTCTCTGTTCAGTGCTGGGTCACTGCCCAGCAAAGAAGTTCTTTCTCACCTCCAGGTGGAACTTCCTGGGCATCAGTTCCTGCCCGTTGCTCTTGTGCCATTGCTGGGCCTCCCCAAGCAGAGCCTGGTCCATCCTCTGACCCCTCCCTGCCTCCAAAGTACAGGTACAAAATTTTCTAAAGAAAAAAATGTAACTTTGGTGGTAAAAGTGATAGGATTGTTTTCCTGGATGAAAAAAAATAATTCCTCTAAAGTATGCGATTCATCAGGAGAAACCAGACTGCCACGTTAGATGTTAAAGGAGCTCTTTATTACCTTTGATAGGAAAAATTCTTTGATAAGTCTTTTTATTTGTAGCGTATGGAAGAATGCTGCAAGAGGAAGTGGGTCTGCTCTTATCCTAAAATAAATTCCTTTGTAAACCTGTCATTGCCTTAAAATGGCATGCTGTGAGATCCTGAACAGTTCATAGAACTGCCAGGGAGTTTGTGGCTTACAAAGTTCAACTGACACGTTTGCATTGCTCTAATTAATTGTTTAAATTCATCTTTCAGTGCCCAGTTTGGGAGAACTGTTACCTTGTCTGATTACATCTCAGACTTGTAACCTTTACATTTATACTAACAAGTAGTATTTTCCTTCAGAATATTTGATGAGTACAAGCAAACAAAGCACCACCCTCCTTAGTAGCAGACACCAAGATGATTATGGGCAGTTAAGAACAAATTTTGCTGTACTTCTCTAGTTATTCAAATTGGTATTTTAAATTTGCAGCTACTACAATTTTGCGTGTTTCCAAGTAAATTCAATGGAGAAATGCTGTAAGATGCCAGATTTTTCAACTGTGAGCTCTTGGGCTTTTAGCACAGGGGAAAAGGTAAGCAGAGTGAGACTGGCGTTCATTATAGACCTTGAGGCCTGAGGAGTTAAACTTCAGAGGAGGTTGAATATCACTTTTTCTATACCCTTTAAATCTTCTGTCTGGGACTGGCTGCACCCTAATCATAACTGCCCCTCTTTATTTAAAGGAAGTCAGGCTGTTTCGAAATAGAGGTGGAATACTTTGCCTTTAGATTAAGGAGGGCTTCTTTCATGAGCTATTTATTTTAGTTTTGAAAATTCAGTTTCTTGTTCTGCTTCTGAAAAGTTGGGAACGTTTTGCTTTACCTTCATAACGTGTGTTTAGGAACAAAGAAATTAAACCTGCCACAGGGTAGCAGAGTGGCTTGGAGATGCCTGTCTGGGTAATGCCAATAAAAAATTTACTCCAAATCCTGTTTTTCAGGTTATTTCAAGAAAATGTATCCTGCTGCAAGGATATATGTTTATATATGTGTGTGTGTATACACACATATATATAATCTATACAAGTAAATACCTGGATAGCTGTGTTCTAGGAGTAAGAGTTTTCAGCCTTTGTGAAAGGAAAACCTGTGGTTGCTATGAACATCCATAAACAGATCCCTTAGTTTAAATGATGTATGAAAATGTAGAAAATACAAGATAATTTTCAGATGCTCCTTCCCAAAGCTGCTTCTGTTATATTCAGTCTGAAAGTCATCTGAGAGGTAGATTGAAAATACTTTTGACTTCATGGCAGCAGCAAGTATAATTGTGGTTCATGAAACTGGCTGAAGCTGGAGGAAATCAAGTTGCTCTGGTCTACAACAATGGCAGTTTGTTTTTGGGAGATGCCAGCAAGGACTTCTGGGGGAGCTGACAGACATTTTATGTCGAAGTTACAGACTGCAACCAAACCAGGCCACATGCTGTAAAAAAGCCTCGCCGCTGAATGGAAGCCAGTGGAGAGCAAAAATAGGAGTGTGAGTTGAGTTTTTAGAGTGAACCATCATAGAGTTGAGCATTTTCACGTACATGTGGCTATCCCATGAGTGTTGCCAAAGAATGCAGCATAATGTCACATCAGTAGTGGTTGCCTTTCTTTGGAAAGCTCCCCTCAGGCACTGCCAGTGCATTAAGTGGCTCGATGTGACCTCTTTGGTTCTGTATTTTCACAAGCATACGAGAAATCGTGTTATTGAGCGGATATGGATCTGTAAAGGACCCAGAGTACTGATGAGAGCGGCAGTGAACTCCTCATGCCCAGTCAGGTTTTGCCCACCTGCAGGATCTTTGGGGTCCTTTCCAACCCAGGCTGTTGTGTGATTTTATGGAATTCCCCTTTTCTTTGTTACTTTGCTACTTGCTTTCCTGCACAAGTAAGTTTGAAATGAGCGAGTTTAAAGTCTACCTGGGCCAAAGGGAAGTGTATTCTTTGGTAGAGGGCTTCAATTTTGCATTATTCCTGGGTGCTGCTGCTACCCTTATCCTTGGATGACACAGAGCACTGCCAGCATCTTACTTTTTATCAGCCTGTTGTGTCCCTGTGACTTTAACAACCACAGCAGACAGCAAGTTTTTAGTTAGCCAGGAGTGGTTCAGATCAGCAGTGGAAGGATGGGACTTGTCAGCACAGGTTAAGAGCATAAATCTGTTTGCTCTAAAATAGTGCCAGAGGTGAAGCAAAGTATCAGCGAGTGGAAGTCAACTCTACCTGTTCTCACTGGCTGCCCCATCCCTGGGAGTGTCCAAGGCCAGGTTGGACAGGGCTTGGAGCAACCTGGGCCAGTGGAAGGTGCCCCTGCCCATGGCAGGGGGTTGGAAGCAGATGATCATTAAGGTCCCTTCCAACCCAAACCAGTTTATGATTCTGTCCTATAATTTTACCACAGATGGAACTAGGAAAGGAAGAAGTCACTGTATTGCCATGCTGCAGTTCAGACTAAATCAACTCCTGTGTGCTGAGAATTCATCTTTAAAGAGAGATTGTAGAGAGTGGAGGGTCCCTGCTCTGGGCATGAGCACAAACCTGAGC